TTCTCCTATGGTCCTACCTCTCTTGAGCTCCTTCTTTCCTTTTATCCCCTAGGTTCCTTGTATACCCTTCCCTCTCCCTTCCCTTAAACTAACCCAATTTTTATCCATATCTCCCCTATTAAGGCCTGTTTTCTACTGTTCTTCTCTTTCAGGTTCTTTCTTTTCCTTTACCTCCCTGTTTCCTTTCCAGTATCCTGGTTCTTGTAGTTATAGCTGGATACATACTCACTTATCAGGGTTTGGTTCTAGGATCCACATATGAGGGAGAACATATCTCGATTTTTTTTCTGAGTTTGTGTTACTTGACTTGGTATAACACTTTCTAGTTCCATCTATTTACCTGCAAATTTCATGATTTTATCTTTCTTTACTTCTGAGTAAAACTCCATCATATAAATGAACCACATTTTCATTTTCTACTCATCAATTGAGGGACACTTAGGTTGCTTCCATCTCTTAGCTATTGTGAAAAGAGCAGCAGCAAACATGGATGTACAAGTGTCTCTGCAATAGGATGAGGTCTTTGGGTTTATGCCAAGGAGTGGTACAACTGGGTCAAATGGTGGGCTCATTTGTAGTTTTTAAGAGATCTCCACACTTCTCTCCATAGGGGTTGAACAAGTTTGCAGCCCCACCAGCAGTGGATGAGTGTTCCCCTTTCCCCACATCCTCTCCAACATTTGGTATCATTTGTTCTCTTGATTTTAGCCAGTCTGACTGGGGTGAGGTGAAATCTTAAAGTGGTTTTAATTTGCATTTCCCTAATTATTAGTGATGCTGAACATTTTTTAAGATGCTTCATAACCATCTTCCTCTTTTGATGTTCAGCTCCTTAGCCCATCCTTTAATTGTGTTGCTTCTTGTCTTGGTTCTCTGTTTTTTGAGTTTGTTATATATTCTGGATGTTAAATCTCTGTCAGATGTGTCGCTGGTGAAGATTTTCTCCTATTCTGTGGGCTTTCTGTTTGCTTCCCTGGTTGCCTCCTTTGATGTACAGAAGCTTTTTAGTTTAATGAGGTCCCATTTGTTAATTCTTGCCCTTGTTTCCTGAGCAATTCAGCTCTTCTTTTTTTAGTAGTATTGAGCATAACGGACTATATTTTTTTCCTCTAAACCAACCCACTCTAAGAGCAAGTCATTATTTTCTTAAATAAATGAGTCAGTTTCAATCACACACAGCAGCACATGGAACATGTGTTATTATGTAAAGTGACCTTCCATCTGTCACTCATATGTCATCATATACCCCCTCCCAGTTGTAGAAGCTGCACATGTAACAGTAAGTATGTTATGCTTTGTTTAGGATTTCCATTGTTGATGTATTCTTAGACACTTATTTCTCTATATTTTTGCTTAGTAATTAAAAATATTGTTATATTCTGGGATAAGGTGACCTTTAAGAGAGATATGGTCAGGATCTCCATGAACCACTTTCACAGGAAAACAACCAAAATACTGAAAAATTATGAAATCAATCATTTCAGAGCTCTGAAAATTAACAAGAAATGTATAGCACCCTAAGAAAGAACATTTAGTCAAGAACAATAGTAATATCCAAAGGATGGTGGCATTTTTAACTGGGCCTATTTTCATCCACTGACCCCCAAGTTCTATAGTTTCTTTGGAAACCAATAGCTTCCCTATCATCTCAATCACAGTATCTGTGAAAATCAACATCTTAACAGACACTGGAAGAGGCACCCAGGATTTGTAGCTCTTCAGGAAGTCTTATTCTCAGATAACTGTAAATTCCCATAAAAATTCCACTCATATGGCTACTTCTTTTTATAGAACTCAGAGATTGCACAATAGAAAAAGCCTTATCCCCGGGGTATTCATCGAAGACGATCCATCGTACTTATTTAACATTGCAACTTCATAAGCCAGCAATACCAACTGGGGCAAATGAGAGATTGGTCGAAAAGCTTAAATATATATATGAGGTAACCACAGAGATTTTATAAAGTTGCAGTATATTTCTAGGTACTTAGAAGGTCACACACATGAGAACTGCTCATATAACCAGAAAATATATAAAGAGATCCCAAATAGTCACCTCTGGTTGACTTGAAGCTCTATGAAAATAGGAAATGAAGGTCAGGGCTGGGCTGCACACACTGCCTGACTATTGCAGGTATGCCCCAAGACACACTCAGAACTTGTCAGCTATGGGTCAGAAAACCTTGTTGGTCAAGTCTTTAAGGAAATGTCTGTCC